GATCCTCAAGTTTAAAAAGCACTTCACCCAGTATGAGCGGTATCGTTCCACGCTTCTTGAGAAACAAGGCCAGTGGGAGTTGGTGGAAATGGCTAAGCCGATTAATAGCATGGCAGATCAGGAAGAGGCTATGGAGGAGCTTCGTGATGAAGGCAATAGCAAGGTGATGACCTTTGTGGCCGGTGACGACTACACCCCAGAAGCCTTTGGATTTGTGCTCAATCTTGGCAATCCCGGAGGCAGGGGAGGAAGATGAATTTGATGAATTTGGAGGTGCAAAGATTCCTGGAGATGATAGAGTTGAAGGGATGGATCTTGATGATCAGAGAGTGCAGTTGGAAATCGGCATTGCTCTACCAGAGCAGTTGATGGTGAATGACGTGGTGCTCACATTGGAGAGTCCCCTCAGACAGCTGAGAGCCGCCTGTGCCTACATGGAGCTCGTGATGGCCAAGGACTTGGCCGCGCAGGGCAGGGCGTTCGAGCAGAGGATCCCTCTTGAGCAGGTGTTAGCAAAAGAGCCAACGGCAGAGGAGAAGCGCCAACACGAATTGACCCACCTTCCTTTTGCTCCTTGGTGTCCATCGCGCATCAAACACCGCTCTCGGTCAGATCGGCATCGGCGCACGGTGAAAGCAGCTGGCTCAGGTGCTTATGGTGAACCAGAAGAGGCAGATGGAGCTCAAGAAGGAGTAGCCGAAGAGTGGGGCGCACTACTTCTAGTGGCAGTATGCTCTGAGACGGGATACCTCATGGCCCTACCCTTGAAGACCAAGAATCAGATGAGTTTGATCACTCATGAGCTCATGGCCTTTACTCAAGTCTTAGGCCACGAAGAAGTCCAATACTACTCGGACAATGAGCCGACATCCAGGCAGCTGCTCCGTCTGTTGGTAGCAGGAAGAAGTGCCGCAGGCCTCAAGACGACCATGAGATCGACCAAAATCTATGACAGCGCAGGCAACAGCTTGGTCGAGAATGCCATCCAGAGAGTTAGAAGTCTGGCAGCAACATTGATGGAGAGTCTAGCTGAGCGCATTGATCTTCGCTTTGGGAGCCAACATCCCATTTGGTCATGGGCATGCAGACACAGTGCATGGCTGCTGAACCGGTTTGCGCCCTTCCATGGCTCAACCAGCTATGAGTTGACGCATGGCAGATCCTATACAGGAAAGATGTGCCCATTTGGTGAAGTCTGCTTTGCATACACCAAGCAAAAGCAAGGCTATAAAGCGGACCAGAAATGGAAAGTGGGCATCTGCCTTGGGAAAACAGAGCTGCAGGACAACTGGGTTGTTGGGGACGCTAATCGAGTATTCCTGAGCCGGTCTTTGCGCAGGGTGGCAAATGCAAGCAAGCAGTATCTCTCATGCTTCCAAGGGTTCACAGCCTACTCCTGGGAATATCAGCAGAACTTTGGGGGCCGCATTGTACCCTCGAAGAGATTGGCTTCGATAGTCGGAGGAGCTTTGAGCATCCCAGCGCCAGAGAAGTTAGGAATCAATGAGGATGACAAGGACGCTCTTGAGGTCCTCGCCTTCACCAAGACCTATGCCGGCAAGATGGAAGAAGCCAGAGACTTGGTGAGCGAGGTGGACACCCAGATGGGAAAAGTCAGAACGAGAAGCCAAGAAAGGAAGCTTGCTTGGACAACCCCCTGATTCGGCTCGATTTTTGGAGGGTTCCCCAAGTGAAGAAGAGCGCATTGCGGAGGACAAGAAAAAGGGAATTGACGAAGCAGAGGAGATCCCAGAGTTGGTACCTTTGGATCCAGAAAGAGTTGATGAAGCCCGAAATCAAGCTGGACCGTCGAGACCCAGTACGCCTCGTCCAGGAGCCCACAAGTCACCGCTTCCAAGTGGGAGTCCAGAGTCGGAAGGCAAGAAGTTGAAGCCGACAGTGGAGAAGCCTTCGCATGAGGTCGATGTTGTCACCCCAGATCCGAAGAGAACCAAGGTGACCTTGGAAGAGAATGTGGAGCGCAGGGTGGAAGCCACCTGGGTGGATGACACCGAGTATTACCACAAGGACAAGGTCATCGGCGAGGAGGAGCTGTGGGCGCTCGAACAGGAAGAACAAGAAAATGAGGGTGATGGCAATGATCTTCCCTCGGCACTGTGGTCGACAGCAGCATTGGATCGAGTACCACCAGATCCTCCAAGCTGGATTGAGGACTTGGCAGACGAGGTCGAGGTGAAGAGATTGCAGCGCTTGGGAGTGCTTCAGCCTATGGAGGGCTTGAGAGAAGGATTCAAGAAACTCACAACTCGTTCGTGAGGGATTGGAGAGTGAAGCCAAATACAGCAATCAAAGGAGCGCCCAAGATGTTTCTGAGGAGATCACGGTTGGTAGCACGGGAGTATGCCACAGACCGCCGAGATGATGTCCATAGCCCAGCGACAGGTGGCCAAACGTTGAAACTACTCCCAGTGATCATCTCATGAAGAAGGTAGAGGAGGAGACAGGAGGAGTTCCTTATGCTTATGTGTTGGGAGCTTTGGATGTCAAGGACGCCTTTCTCCAGGTGCCACAGGAAGAACCAGCACAGGTGAGTGCACCTAATGGCATCTTTGAGGTGAAGCGCAATTTACCAGGTCAGAGGATTGGTGCCAAAGCTTGGTTCGAACACCTCACCAAGTGGCTGAGTGAGAAGGGATTCATCTTTTCCCAGACGAATCCTTGCTTGGGCAGGCTCGAGGATAAGATGATGGTCCTCATTCACGTAGACGACGTGATGTTCACGGGCGAGAAGGCTTTCTTGGTCTGTGCAGTACCTCACGGACACAGGAAGCACTTTCCAGTTTCTCCGAAGGACTTATGAGAAGACCGTCAACGGCTTGAAGGTGAGTCCAGGCAAATATGCAGAGAACATGATTGAGGCCTATGAGGAGAAACTCGGGCGAACGAAAGTCCAGAAGCTGCCGTGCAGTCAGGAGATGTTGGAACCAGATGGCACGACCTTGCTACACGCAGAACTTGCAAGCCTCTATAGAAGCGTGGTTGGCTGCGGGATCTATTTGTCTCAGGAGAGGCCAGACATCGCGTTTACCATCAAGGAACTGGCTTCGTCGATGTCTTGCCCTACTACCGGAAGCCTCAACAAGCTGGGCAAACTCATTGGATACCTCAAGCATACCTTGGGACAATACCTCATGATGGAAGAGCCAGGTGATCCAGGCCATGGGTTGACTACAAGGACCCAGCAGTCAAGGTGGCTCCTTGAGACGTATACCGACAGCGGCTGGTCAGGATCCAAGAGTCATAGGAGATCCACATCGGCCGCAATCCACATGGTGAATGGCATCATGGTCTTGGCCACTGCTCGTGGCCAGAAGTTCCGCAGAGGCCGAATTAAACTCCCTGGTGGCAGGTGCAGCTGACGGCATCTACCTGAAGAAATGCTTGGAGTTCCTTGCAAACGAGGATGTAATCCACCACTGCCTTGTGGACAACTCGGCAGCGCTTCACCTATGCCACAGGAAAGGGCCAGGGAAACTTCGCCATATCTCGGGTAAGCTGTTGTGGATCCAAGATCTTGTTGCCCAAGAGGAGCTCTATGCCAAAGCAGTTGGGACAGTCTACAATGTAGCAGACTTGGGCACGAAACCTTTGACGAAGGCTCGGATCAATTTGATCCTTTATTGGTGCAATGCTTACAATGCCCAAGGAGAACGCCTCGGCCAAGAGAATGGAGGAGAAGACCTAGGTCAACCAGGGCAAGATACAGCGCTTGGCAAAGCTGTTCAACAGACTTTTACTTCTTGAAGGCCTTGGGCAAGTGGCAGGCGAGAGAATCAAAGAGAACTATGAGGTGGTCGATGAGAAGGGCATGATCGGGTTTACAGTGTTTGTGATCGTGGCAGTTCTTGTGATTGGAGCCCTGTCCTTGATCATCTATATGCTATGGCGAAAGGTGCACAAACTTGAGGAGATGATGTACCTGATGAAGGATGACCAGAAGGTGGACGGCATGATGATTGGGGCATATCACCACGAGTTGAAGACAAATGTGGCCAGGGTGGAGAACTACGCCAAGAAGATTCACCGTGGGCTGATCAAAGCCTCAGGCTATGTTGATGACATTGAGTTCCAGGAGGGTGACTGGAAGAATTGGCACTACTTAGAATGGTCCAATCGGGACTTCGATATGAGGAGAGTGAATGGACAGGTGCAGACCTACCTGAAGACCAGTGTGGCGATGAGAGCGCCTAGTGAGGATTCAGCAGAAGATGAACTACCTGGAGGTGAAACCGCCACGGTGCAGTTGGAAAAAAGGAGATCGTGGAAATCCCTGTAGCCTACTTGCAGCCGAGAGAGCCAGAAAGCGAGGAAGATGTGGCAATGCCAGATGCCGACCGCACTCATGAACTTGCAGCTGGAGCAGATGGTCAGCCAGCTGTGAGTGACGTAGGATCAGGGATCGAAGATCCGACAAGGAACCAGCCTACCGATGGTTGGATTGCTGAAGAGGATTTGGTTTTGCTGGAAGGCTTTGACGGGCCATCAGCACGAGCATGTTTGAGGGCAAAACAATATGTCCTGAAGTTACAGAAGATGTGGGAAGAAACTGACAGGAATGGGTTCGAAAGCACGAAAGTCCAAATTCAACGACAGTTGAGAAAACATTACCCATTCCTGGATAGCAGCGAACTTCCATTTTAGAAATTGAGGTGCGAGCACAAGCATTTAGCTACCCACCTCAAAGGAGGAGTGCGAATGTCAAGTCAAATGACACGCACAAATCGGCAGTGTACATCATGTACTGCAGGCCTTTGAGTTCCATGTACATCAAAAATCCGAAATATAATTGCATTTTAATATATATATATATATCGTTATGTTTCTTTATTTTTTGATTTTAAAATTTGTTGTCCTTCATGAAGGCTAGTTGCATTAAATAAGCCGCGAAGGTGCTCGAACTGGCCAATGAAAATGATAATCAATCGCTAACAACGAAAATGCAGCAAATATGAAAGTGGACACAGAAAATGACAAGATGCCTGCCGCATTTGCACAGTATCCACGCCATCCATATGTGGACCTCATGTAGCAATGCCAAATTCGCACCCCCATCGCATTCCAAAGCATCACGTTGGATCCAACCGATTGTGGAAAGAACACGAGCGCGCTCACCGTTTCCAGCCAATGGTGCGCTGAGGGCTTTGCAACTGCGCCAGCCATGCCCCAACCCACTGCAGATCTGACATTTAGACGACGGTAGAAGATTTTGACCGAATCATGAAGAAACTTGTTTCCAAATCATGGGCGCATAGTGAAAGTTAAAGTATTATGTTGCTTCAATATCAGAGAAAAGTAGACGCAAATATATATATATATATGCACTGACATACATACATACATACATACAAACACGCATACACACCTATATACATACTTACTTACTTACATTCATACAAACACAAGCCTGAAATGTTTCAGCGAGTCTCATTGAATAATACAAGTGGCAATCAAGTAATGACATTTTCTAGAGTTTAGAGAACCATGACAATGTTCAGAGATGGACCCTTGGTTCTATATGTGTTTTCCGGTGTGCTCTTCATATCATCTAACAGTCTAATACTCGTATCTACCTAGCAGTTTTGTTTAGGGGGCAACAGGAGGACAAGAAGGGGACAACGGGAGGAGGACCAGGGACAAAACAAAAGACAAAAAGATGACAACAGGAGGACAAGGTCTGGAGACCGGCTGGCAGCCGCGGCCAGACAAAGTTTGCGTTGGCGAGCCCCGCCAAAAAAAAGATCGACGGTTCGCCAAGGCTCAAGGCGACTCGCATATTACCACAACTTCGCGCGCCCTACGCGCACGATCTCCTCAGAGGGTCGTGTTTCGTGAGATCAGCTGGGCCACCCCACCACCTTAAGAAAAACGTCGAGGTTGTAGTTGCGTAGGTGGGTTTTGTAAGTGTCTTCACCTGTGTCTCAGCACCTGTATCTCCACGCCTGTGGCTCAATACCTGTATCCAGAGACTGTATCTATGTAGGTGTGTTACAGCAGGCGCATCACCTTCATCTGTGCGCCTGACAACAACGATGACGACTGACAAACTTCAATCACCTCCGTATCTGCACCTTGATACGACGACGACGGCGGTGACGATGATGATGATGAGGAGGAGGATGACGACGCTGATGATGATGGTGATGATGGCGATGATGCTGATGATGATGATGATTATGGTGATGATGACGACGACAACGGTGACGGTGATGATGATGATGATGATGGTGACGCCGTGGGGATAGCGCGGCGCCGTGTAATCCTCTTGGTGGGCAACCTGACGGCGACGGACCCCATCGACTACAGGAACTTCACGATGGAGACTGGCAAGATGATGCCTTCCTCTATGCGCACTGCGCAGCCTCAGGACAGGCGGTCTGTCGACCATCATCAACAAAAAACCTGCGCTTGTGACAGACTTGCATGGAGGACGCTTCTGCCTGGCAGATTGTTGCGTGTCAGATTAAATCTCCAGCGCGCCAATATTGATACTGTGAACGCCTGTCAATACGTATGGCATGATCAGGACGTAGGATCACACTCTTCCCTGCCTTACTTTTGCGCTTTTGGAATTCTATTTGGATTTTTCAAGTGGGGTTGAAGTTGAAGTTTTTGCTACCACCTCAAAAGTTATTTACACTTCTCGATTTCTAGGGTCGCGTCTGACTGCAAATCATCACTAGGTTCAGCTCTATTTAGGACAGTCCCTTAGTAGCAGGTAAACTTGTAGTCACGTTAACCTTAATTTTGCGCCTTCGTTGACACTTCCAGAATATATCGTCTCGATTTTCCAATACTGTTTTCTCGAGGAAGGGAAGAAAAGAAATTTGGGCCATGAAAATTTCTATTTCCGTTTCTTGGCGCTGCCATGTGGCTCTAAATGGGTTTGCCTTCCCAAGTGTGGGTTACTGAGTACTTTGGCTGCTTCGGCCAGGCGCTAGTCCGTAGAGATCATTGGCTGCTTCGGCCAAGGCCTTGCCATGAGTAACGTGGAGACAAAGGCAAAACTCAAATGGGCGCGATTGGGCGCCAAGTGGCAAAAGGAGTTTCTGCTGAACCCTGAAGCTTCTCAAGCTGGCTCCTGGCTACAGAAGCAAGAAGACACCTGAAGCATCGCTTGCATAGCGTGTAGGGAAGCCAAATGTTCCAGCAGATTTGCGAAATTTGTGGTCAGCACGCCAGATGCCTTGCAAGCAATCAGTTTTCGAAAGCATCAAGGCAATTCGCATCACAAAGCATCTGTGAAAAAATATTTATGCGGCATTTCAGAGGCAGTGAGCATTGATGCAGCGCCTGAAGCAGATTGCTTTGAGGGACTGCTTACTAAAATCGGAACAGGCCAGCCAACCCTTAGTACCAGAAAAGAAGCGCAGATGACGTGGCGCCTCGCAGCAGCCTTGGGTTTTGGACAGCGAAAGGAAAAATTGCCCCGCCAGGCTTGTAAGGAGAGGTCTTTTAGCCTGCCCCAACCGAGGCTCGGGAACGTTCTTGAACCTCCTAAGGAGCAGGCAAAACAAAAAGCAGACTGTTAGAAAAAATCCGTTCATCTTGGAGAACAGTCTGCTTCTTGCCTGCTCCGACCGAGGCTCGGGAACGTTCTTGAACCTTGTAACGAGTAGTCTGTTAGCCACCTCTGTAGGAAACTCAAACACATGATTCTCGTCTAGCTGTTGGCTCAAGGAGAAGATAGAGAATTTGGGCCTCTGGCTGCTTCGGAGGGCTTAGCTGGGGAGGGGGGCGACGAAGAGGAAGTGGCGATGGAAGAGGCTGAGGAAGACGACGAGAGGTTTGGGACCCGCTGGCGTGATCTTTGGCTGCATCGGCCAAGATACATGCACTCTGGCATGGCTGCAACTTTTTCTTGCATCTCTGGCTGCATCGGCCAGGATGCATGCAGCTTTTGAGCTTCAAGTGAGCCTGGTCAACACTTCTTCGGCAATCGTCTTGAGTGTCTGGTTTTCTTTACATTGGTACATTGAACGCTTTATGGGCATACGGCTTCCCAAAAACGATCCTGCAGTCACATTTCAACTTTAACTTCTCTAAGTTATTACTATCGGGAAGCTTGGGAAGCTGGCTTACCCTGCACACCATTTCTCTTGATTTGAATTTGATGGCTCCAACCAGGGGTTCCAACCAAGCGTGAGCTGATAATTATTGCAGCCGTGCCGTTCTACAAACTAACTTTGGAAAACGTGTTCTCAAGTGGGGGTTGCCTTTTTCTCGAGCGGATGCTGCAAAATTACTTTCTGGACGTGGGAAAAAATTTCACCTGTTGCCCTTCAACTGTCACATTCTCACAGGGTCTCGTCAAAGCCTTGAAGTTGGCTGGCGTTGCATGCCTTGCTTTGTACAATTGACTTTGCCACAACTGTTTGCTGAGACCCTTGAGCAGGAAACTCAAAAAGTTATTTTGAATTCTCGATGTTGCACCTAGAATGGTACTACTCGAGGAAGACCACACCAACCCTTTCACAGAGTAAAAAAGAATCCAAAATGCCAAAGTGCAAATGTAAGCTGCGCACGCACTGGACCAAGGGACGCCTGCTCCCGCGTTGACCTTACCACGGTGAAACACAGAGAGGGCGATTCACAAACAAGACGACCTGTCTACTTGACCGATCTCCGACGTGGAGGCGCTTTGACAAGTGGGGACTCCAAAGCAGGGGCAGCGCCTCAAGGCAAGCTCAAAAGAGCGAGATAGACGTTAAGAAGGAGGCTGAGGAGGAGGAGGAGGAGGAGGAGGAGGAGGAGTCCAACGAGCCGTTCGTGGAAGCGAAGGCTGCGGAGCGGCCCCTCTACCCCGCTCTCCACACAAGAAAGAAGACCCTGGTCGTGACCAGCCGTGGCAAAGTTCCGGAGGAGCGGAAGTCGAGCAGAGGCGACAAGGTCATACTAGCTTGGTCCGTTCCCTACCAATGGAGAAGATGGACAACATCAGCTAGAAACTTTAGCCAGACAGACGCAGTGGCTAGCACAACTTGATCCTGGACACCCTGGTCTACCCCGACTCAACGGCCTATTCCTACAGGCCTGTCGAAACTTCAACCCTTCATCCCCGGCCTCGCAACCTGATCAAGTGGCACTGGGCAGCAACCTCAGCAGGGACTACTCGTCGCCCACCTCTACCCACTCGTCCTTGACGCAGGCCATCTTCTAGTTGTGGCTCGTCTAGAAGGTTCGCAGGCCGGCCCTGCGTCAACCTGGCGGTCAACTGCTGGCTCCAGAGGAAAAGCTTCATGGATCACGGACCACATGATCCAGACCTATGCAGGCGTGGACCTGGAAATTCCTCGCTTTGCAACCAGTGAACGGAACTCCAACGCGCACCTTCACACATTGCACCAGGCCATGTTTGGAAAGCACTTGCGCCTGCTCTTGGTACTCTACCTTTAGGCTTATAACATAAAGCTATCGCAATCTCTATTGTTTTCAAAAATGAACATATCTATGAACATAGGAAAAGAATAGGACACCAACATAAAAATAGAATAGTGCTGAAAATTGCTCAATTCTTTTCATTATCCCTTCAATAACAATCACTTCCTTCTATTTTCCTTTGAAAATGATCAATTCCTTTCAACCTTTCACTTGTCCTTTAAGAATGGTCAATTCCTTGGATTTGTGCTTTAAAAATGATCCATTCATTTCATTTTCCTTCCAAAATGATAAATTCCTTTCATTTTCCCTTTACATATCATCAATTCCTTTCATTTCCTTTCAAAAGAGATCAATTCCATTCATTTTCCTTGTATGAAAACGTCTTGTTTTACTTTTCGTCTTGTTGAACAATATGTTTTTACATATTTTGTATGTGCTTTTTGTCTAAAGTATAATAAATATAAAAATGACTATTCTTGTAAAAACAGGAAATAGTGTTACTTTCAAAAATAAGAAAACTACTAAGAAACAGAACTATTTTCAAAAAATAATAGCAATAAAATAGAATTACATTATAATATCGTTTTGCAAACTAATGAAAAACTAAGAAAAATACAAATATTTTCAAGGGAATGAAAATAGGTCCACAAAATGAAAAATAGGTCCACAAGATATAGCTCTGGAAATTTGATTACTAACTCCTTTAATTTATATTTCAACCAACTAGTGCCTTTTCATGTTTCCTTTTAAAACCGTAAATTCCTTTCATTTTCCTTTTACAAATGATCAATTCCTTTGATATATCCAAAAAAGATCGATTTCCTAGGGTAGCGTCGTTCTTTTCCATTTTTCCTATGCCCTTCCTATTTCTAAATCCAACTCTAGTTTTCTAATTGCTGTTCCCTTCTCTGTTTGCTTCTAGACATTGCGGGCAGCTTTTTGTCGTAATTTTAGGCTGGCTGGCTTCAAGCCTGGCTTCAGCAGGCGCGCATTCCAAGAGAAGGAGACAGGGGTGGGTGGTTCTTCTGCTTCCCAAACCGAATACACCACTTACGGATCCCGGCGCTTTGAAGCCCATTGCCATTGCGTGGCAAACACCACTGTCAGTGTTGTCTCCCCCGACTTGCGCAACATCCACAATGCGGGCATATCATCTACCAGACTTGATCATGAAGAATGTCTGTGATATGGATGGTCTATGATCCCAGCGGTGGCCCCAGCCTGAGCACGATCGATGATGTGAAGATGGCGGCTATCAGACCACTGCCACCCATGAAGGTGAGGATGCAAAACATCCGGGACGATCCAACACAGCTCCATGACTGGAAAACTGAATGGCACATGGCAATCGACCTGATGGACACACAGCAGCATGCTGATCTCTGCCACCGACTGATAACCAGATGTATTGCAAGGACATTCTGGCACGCCTGAAACGTCACAAAGAGTTCTGGCAGAAATCCGCGCCTAAGGCTGAGCGATCCATGGAAGCCTGCTAGGCTGGATCCCACTCGGCCGTGTGCCTGCTGACCCTTTTACAAGGCTGAGGTGGCGGGAAACCTTGAAGACCACCCTTGCCCCTGCCACAGGCAGTGGACAATCATTCATGTGCTGTGGAGAGCTCAGCAACAGGCCGCGGCAAGTGCGGCTCTCCAACTTGGACAGTTGCTGAATGAGTGGGCCTAAAGGGCTTTACGAAGCAGTGGAGCGAACCACATTGACACAAAGTCAAGGTCTACGCAGATCTTCATGCCACGGAAGAGCGTACAGAAAGAAAGAAAGAACGAAAGATAGATAGATAGATAGATAGATAGTAGATGATGATGACGACGATGATGATGATGGTGCTGAATACGATGATGATAATAATGACGACGATGATGACGATGATGAGGAGGAGGACAATGATGATGATAGTTGGACAGTTGAAGTTGGCAGCCGTTCTTTACGGAGAACCCTTCGCAGGTGCTTTCGAGAAAAAGAATAGTCAAAAAGAGTGCAGAACTGTCTGCAGATCGACCGCGTCGCGCCTCACATGGCAAGTGATGCGCCAAGAAGCGGTCAACTTCCGGGTGGTCACCTCCGTCAGTGGAGGGAGTCCGGGTCCATGCCCATGCAGTGCTTCAAAGCAACGACAGTTTCACTCATAGTTATGTATGTGTGTGTGTCCACCCCTGGACAAAGGGTTTCCCACCGCCACTCCT